TTTAATGCTAATTTTATGTGAACTATTTTAATTAAATAATTAATAAATTTAAATTAATTTTTATTTTTATTTTTATATAATTTATAATAAAAATATACAATAAATTCATTTTTACTGCATGCATAGGTTAAAAATTAAAAAAAAAAAAAAGGGATAAACTATGCAGTCTCTTAACTTTAGGCTTTTTCCATCTAACTTCATTATTTTTGTTTTCTGCTTAATCATAAACTTCTTGATTTCATACCGGTGAAATTTCTTCCGTTTATTTGGAGGGTCCCTTTCGCAATCATTCGTATGTTTTGGGCTTCTTTTGTTTATTGAAAAGAAAGGAATTAATGTAGAATCCCCTGCTTAACTAAAATATTCAGAATGAAATTCCATTGCGTTTTAAGATATATTCTAAACGTACTAAGAAGAAAAAAATGTAAAAAACTCAACATTTTTTAGTATTGAAAATATTAGACATTAATTATGTGATTTGATAATAAAATTATATGTGTTATTAATCATAATTTTAAAATTCAATTCTTAATATTTATATCAAAAAATATCTATATAGAAACAAAAAAAATACTAAAAACATTATCACCATCCAATATGGGAGACCAAGAAACAAAACATTATTTCAACGATCTTTAACTTTTTCCCAATCTCACTTTTTCATTAATTGTATCAAGCATCATAGGCCTGATGACCCACAAGAAAAGGCTCCCCTAGTGAAGTTACTCAGCAGATAATTAGAAAATATGTCAACAAGGATCAGGAAAGTTGTGAATTTTAAACTAAGGTGAAAAAATATATAAAATAAAAATATTATATTATATTTAAATACTTTATGAAATAAAAAATAAAAAAAATAACTCATCATATTAATAAAATAAAATTGAAGAGATAAAGAAAAGAATATAATATATTGATGTAGAAAAAAATGAGAGTTTATTTATAGATGAGTAGAAAAATGAAAGAGTATTGTACATAAATAAAAAAAAAAAACTAAAAGGCTACAAGAAATTATAAACGTATATTATTATTATTTTTATATAATAAATAATAAATATATAATAATAATATACTATTTAAATGAGATTTTAGTATAATTGAATGCACATTGTCAAATATATAACACAATAATATTGAATATATAAACAATTTAGAAGCAATGAGAAATAAAATTTATATTTAAAAAAATTAAAATGTTAAATTATTAGATGAATTTTTTTAAAAAATATTAAATAAAGATAAATTGTTAATATCAAAATGAGATTTTAGTATATTTGAATGCACATTCCTAAATATATATAAGAGTAATATTGGATATATAAACAATTTAAAATGAATGAAAAATAAAATTTATATTTAAAAAAATCAAAATGTTA